ATGCACTTCAGCAGGATGTTATCATCTTATTTCAGGAGTAGATGGTTGTCTGAAAAGGTGAAGTCTAAAGCTGTGGATGGCAGTAGTTCCATGGACATTAAGACCCCTCCAAAAGTTGGTGCTTGTTTGGAAACCATATATGAGGACTCAGACACGTCTTCCATGACAAGTCCGTGCTATAATTCTTTGATGATAGAATGGGCTCACCAGAAACTACCACTTCCAGTTCACTTTTATCTTAGTCCAATCTCAACAATTTTGCCTAGGAAGCAGACTGATAGTATAAAAGTTGATGATGTACTACAGGATCCCTCTAATTTGCTTGAAGTTGCCAAATGTGGGCTTTTCTTTGTTTTAGGTGTTGAAGCAATGTCCAATTTTCAAGGCACTAACATTCCTTCTCCTATTCAGCATGTATCGCTGACATGGAAGTTGCATTCCTTATCTGTCAATTTCCTTGTTGGAATGGAAATACTTGAGCAAGATCGGAGCAGGGATACTTTTGAAGCTTTACAGGACCTTTACGGTGAGCTTCTTGATAAGGCAAGGGTTAACCAAAGTAAAGAAGTTATTTCAGATGATAAAAAGCATCTTGAATTTTTGAGATTCCAATCTGAGATTCATGAAAGTTACTCAACTTTTATTGAAGAACTTGTAGAGCAGTTTTCTGCTATATCTTATGGTGATGTGATTTTTGGTCGTCAAGTTTCACTTTATCTGCACCGTTGTGTTGAAACTTCCAATCGACTTACCGCCTGGAATGCACTGTCCAATGGTCGTGTTCTTGAGCTTTTGCCACCTCTAGAAAAATGCATCTCAGGTGCAGAAGGATACCTTGAACCTACTGAGGTAATTTTTTTTTTGTTAACAATCAACTATTTTACTATGGAGCATTATCTGCAGAGATACTGTTTTTGTAAAAGCATATACTACTAAATATAGCAAAAGCTTCTTTTGCATCAAACTAAAATTGGTAAAAGTATTGATTCATTAATCCATTTAGATCCATTAAAAATTCACATAAAGTCCCAATCCATTTAAAGCAAAAAATCCATCCAATCCATCCATTAACAAATTTTTCATGGATGAATATCTAGTCCATCCATAAAAGTAATGTTTTAAAAATTAAAATTTTTTATTTTTGAAATATTTTATTTCTCTCTTTTCTTTATAGGTCATTACATTCTTACGTAGTATTTTAAAATTTACAAGATTTTTTTAATGTCAAAATAATCTTTTAAAATCACAATTCAATAAACATCTCGTATTGTAATCAAATAGTAGTGGATGAATTATTGATCATTCATAAAATTAAATTGACGGATTGAATGCGATCCATTATTTTTTTTTATTATAATTGATGGATTGAATGAATTTTTTTATGGATGGATGAGATGAATGATGGATAAATGGATTGATTTGTCACCTCTAGCCACTACCCTAATAAGGAGTTTCCTCCTTCAACACTGTAGAAACAATGAAAAATTACACATTCCCTTTGCTGATCTCTTTTCCTATATCTATATTCCACAAATAACTGCCACATGTAGAAAATAACTGCCTTGCTGATACAAAACAACTGCCTCATGTAAAAGATAACTGCCTACTTCTGCTGATACCAACAATAACTGCCCTATTTAAAACACAACTCTCTCATACATTAATTATAACTGCTTTTTATTTCTTCTGACTTAAACCTTCAATGGCCTGTCAATTTCCTTGTCTAAACCTTTTTTTTTTATTTTTGTTAATGCTATCTATCTATGACTTCTGTCATTAGCAACAATTGAGATTTAATGGGTAGGTGAAACAATTATCTTTTCCCACTATTATCTTGGAGGGGTGCACCTGCACAGTCACATCATCAATCCATACTAGTCTTTAACCCTTTTTTACAGTGTATTTCAATCAACGTTAATGGTGTATCTTGTCTCTACAGGATGATGAAGGGATTTTGGAGGCTTATACCAAATCGTGGGTTTCCGATGCCCTGGACAGGGCTGAAATTCGAGGATCAGTGGCATATACTCTGGTTGTCCATCATCTTTCCTCATTTATATTTGGTGACTGTCCAAAGGATAAGTTATTGCTGCGGAACAGACTTGCTAGGTCTCTCTTGCGAGATTATGCTGGGAAACAGAAGCATGAGGTAAGTAAAGTTCTGAAAGCTTTTACCCTGATGGGAAAATGGTAGTTTAGGCTAGTTCTAGCCTATCTGATTATGGAAATGTTATATGTGAATATGTGTGGGGCATGTGCTTGCATGTTCTTTGATTAGATACCCATTAGTTTTACCAAAATTCTACACCAGACAACATGATGGCTATCTGATAGAAATTTGGTATCTTATTAGAAAGATGAAGGGATTTCTCCTCACAATACAATGCTTAACTTGCAAAAACTTCGAGAGTCTGCACCTCTCAATGCTCAAAGGCTCCAATCCTTTCACAAATGACAAGATGAAATTCCTCTCAACCCGTTGTACTATTTATATACAGCTATTGGGCTGCTAACATAAACCCACTCTGAATGGGCATAATCAATTGCAGGCCCAGCCCCGTTCTTTCTAACACAAACCCTTGTATTTCTTTGGCCAATAACCTAATTAACTAATTATTGCAACTGATTAGGCCCATCTATGGTGAGTTTATTTGAACAGCCCAGTAGCTGCCTATAAATAGAAATAACTTTAAACAGTGTAGGGGATTTTTGGGGATTGAGAAACAGTGTAAGGAGTGGATCTAGACTTATTGAAGTATCTGGAAGTGTATTGGTTCCTAGGGGGCATCTCCCTGGCTTCATTCAATAAAAAACAAATTCTTTATCAGTGTGTTATGATACCAGTTCTATCATTCTTTCATCTAGTTGTTTGGAATGTGTCAGCTAGGAGCCTAATATTTAGCCCTACCAAATGAGATTTCAAGGTTGTGCAGTGAGATATAACTGTGTTGGTAATTCTCAGTTGCAGTATTTGTATGACCAAGAGTTTGAGGCCATCGATTAAGTATAATAAGATTTTTTTTCCTCTTTTAGCTTTCTAATTTAATTTGCATTGTTGCATCTGCATTTGTAATTTTACATACATTATGGTGGTGCAACGAGACATTACTAATGGAGCTTTTGTTACAGGGAATGTTTCTGAACCTCATTCACCATAAGAAGCCACCAACATGTGTCATGGGGGAGCAGCTGAATGGTGTACTTTCTGAAAAGAGTTGGTTAGAGTCCAGATTAGAAATATTGGTTGAGGGTTGTGAGGGAAATTCCTCTCTTTTGACAGTGGTAGAGAAGTTAAAGGCTGTTGTAGAAAAGAGTTAATAGTGGTAATCAATATATAACCATGTAAATATAAAATGAGATACACAAAAAGTAGAACAAAGGCTTTTATGTATAGATTTTTGCAATGGGGTCTCAAATGTACTGGTTGGAGCATACTGGCCACTGTTATTGGTTCTTTTGTTAGAGTGGAGTCTGCTGATCTTTTCATCAAGATTCTTGGTACCAAGTCCTAACGCATGCTATGTACATAATGAAAGAATACTAGTAATGCAGTTGGGTTGTTATAAACTTATATTTATTTTCTCTTTGATCTCATTTTCATTTCATTTTGTTTCTATCTCTTTTTCTTACCACATTACTTGTGTACATTCTCTATCATTATTTTAGTTGGGTTATTATATTTATTATTCTCTCAATCTTTTCTTTTTTCTTGTCACTCAAATCTCCAAAATGAGGTGGACTATTTGACGTTGAGTATTATCTTTAGTTTGACAAAATTAAAATGGCTAAAAAGGGCATGTTGGTTACACTTTATGTTTTCAGCTACTTTCCATGTATCCTTGTTTCTGTACTTTTTAAAAAAATGAAACAAGATGTCATTTCTATACTTATTTATAAAATTATGAAATAAAAAAAACTCTCAATCACACTAGTTTTATCAACTTTGTAGACATTTTACGAATTTTTGTTTTGCATTATAGACGCTCGTACAACTCAGGAAAATTTAGGTTTCACTCCTTATGTCATAAGTGTTTCATTAGAAAATAAAATAAAATAAGTATTATATTAATTTTTCAATTCAGTATTAATTATATTTTTTATTTATGTTTTTAATAATATTATGTAAAAAGAGATTTTTTTATTAAATCATTTTGTTATTAATATTATTATTAGTTTTTATCTATTTATTAATTTATTTAAATCTGTATAAAATAATTTAAAATGACATTTATTATGAGATAGAAGAAGTACAATGCTGATGCTAACAAAAGAAGGATTAATACATGTGAATCAATTAGGAACATTTTATAATGATTAATAAAGTCTAAATTCTCAACAAGCATCTAGCACATGATTGACCTTTCTTATCATAATACTGACCCATCTTAGAACCAAAATTTTGAAGCATTACAGACATTACGGACTATTGTTAATCATCTAATTTTATTCACAAGCGCATCTAATGGAACATTGATTATCACTTTCGTTTTAGCACTTAAAACCTCACCTTGCTATTTTTACTTCTCAACAAATCTTGTAACCTATATATGGTCCTAGCCCAGTTCTGAAGTCATATTGTTAAGTTAACACTTGTATTAAAAAAAAACTTGGTTTTGTTCTCTGATAATCATTCTTCAAATATTTCTTAACCATTTAGTTAGTGGTGTCATTCTCTTGATATAATATTGAAGATGATAAAGTGGATAGGTGTAACTATAAGTACTCCGATATTTTTGTCAATAAAGGCACAAGAAATAATGGAGTACGGGAACAACGAATTGTGTATACTTGGTTATATGTAAGGCAAAGAATGTTTAATTTGTTATACTAAAATATAAATAAATTTTAATTAAGTTAATTTTATTTAATGCTTTTAATCTAAAAATACTTCTATAGTATATAGATGAGAGCACTATCTATCATAAATGAAATTTAATGATATTTTAAAAAATGCAGTGTATATTTTATGTGAAATTATGAAAATTTAATTTATTTAAGAACTTTCTTAATTTATATGAAATTAGTTATTTTTGTTATAGTTTCATAAATGATTATTAATAATAGGACCCATTAAATAACATTTAATGCATGGATATAAAATCCAAGGTTAATGTCGAGACATGTTAGATAAGGAGGCAATTATGATCAGGATACTAGTGATTGATAATTCGAGTTTTGGACCTCAATGAGTAAATAAGTTTTTTTAATTAAGACGTAATTCTATTGATAACTAAAAAATAATTACACCATCTTTGTAATAGATGTACCAATTGCTGTCGTGAGATCATCAAACCAAACATTATTTTTGTTGATAAAGTAAGCTTTTTCGAATGAGATTTTTTAAATTGAATTTCCAATTTTCGGGGCTCTAATTCGATCGCGAACTATAGAAACACGCGTATTTTCTAGCAAAATGATATTTAATAAATAGATGGCTATAATCATGGCTGATGTATATAAATTTAGATGCTTGAGTAATGAGATATAGTTTTTTTGTTTTTTACATAAATTGAGATATAGTTATATAGGAGAGAAAACAGACAATTATATAAAATAAGGACTCATGATTATTGTAAAATTCATTAATTATATTTTTCTGTTTAACATGATCATATCCTATTACTTAATATAATAGTAGGAGAAAGATCCAAATCCAATATATACAAGTACACTTAATCCATGAAAATTGTATCCATAATTATTCTAGCACAACTAGGGTATTAAGTGTTTATCTTGTCAAAAGACTGACAACAAGCTATATTGGAATCAAAGACAATTTAACCATGTAAGAATTGTTGTCAAACGAAAATGTAACACTACTTTTAAACTCTAGCAATTTATCTTTTAAACATTTCCCAACATATATATGGCATCTGAAAATGGGATCAGAATACTTTAGCATATAACTTTCAGATTAACAAATATTTAGTACTAAATTATAGGCACCGAAGTTCTGCCTTTGTTAACCAGGTTACAGATCTACATGCATGCAGCATAAAGTACATCTCGATACAAGGAAAATTAAAGGATATAGTCATATAGATAGAGAAAACAACACATAATTTAATATAATTAACACCTAAGTTAACTTGCTCCAATTCTCTCCAAACCATCATGCCACACTCAATCAGCCTGCACACACGAGTCAATAGAAATTAACCAATAATTAATAATCTTGGAGAAGCATATATAAATATATATGGAAATAATAATAGTAATGATCATGAATTCTTACATTAACTTTACTTGCAGAAACTGAACTGCTTGGTGAATTTGGAATGAACCTAGCCCACTGTGTAGCAAAAGTTAGGAATATATATGAATTTTTTGTGAGTTTCAAGAAACGTTAAGCTGGTTACAAGCATGCGCAGTGCTAACCCTAAAGCCTAAATCGAGGGTCATAAAATAATTACATTTTTCGCTGCAGCGCTGAAGGCTTCTCGATGTGGGATCTCAGGGTTCGCTGCTTTGATGCGCTGTATCTCCTCTCTGACATGCACAACAAAATAAAAAAATGTTTAAAAAAAGACTTAAGACCATTTTATATTAATGTTTTTTAATTTATTTCAATAAGCCTTTGTTCTTAACTTATTTCATAATCAAACTAGCTTATGAATAATAAACTTTCACTTCATGTAATAAGTTATTGAATAAGTATTTAATTAGTTAAAATGTCTAGGGTATGTGGGTGCAAAAGACAAAAAAGTTACACTTATCTCTTTTGCACTTACTTCATGAAACGGTTGTAAGCAGATGGGAGACGGTGCTTTTTCTCAGGTGCTGCAAAAGAAATCAACACAAAAAAATGACACATACATGGTTGGGGATGAGAAAAAAAAAGAAGAAATCATATGATTATGTAACTCTCATGTTATATTTGTTTAGAGAGGGTTCTGAAAAGGGTGGTTATTGGATCTGTGGTAACTTCGTACGTTTCACAACAAATGATGCTGCTTTTGGGGACACTGACTCGTTCGATGTGGTTGGTGATGAAGATGAAGATGATGCTTGGCCCTTTTTGGCATTACTGTAAAACCCCTGCTGGAAACAAAACAAATGCTTACATATACTCTCATCACTTTTCTAACCAACCATCTCTTTACTATTGATCTCAAACAAATAACCTATACACACACAAATATAGCATGATAAAAAGAAGAAGAAAACCAAACAGAAGCATTAGATAGTGTAGAATAAACTAACATAGATATGCCATGTTCATGAATATTGAATACTAATATTTTATCATCAGGGAGGGGTACACAACCTGAAGACTTAGGGTATGATCAATGCTTTGGTTTTGAGAATTTGGGGGTCTGGTGCTGAGAAAGGAGAGGTTGCTGCAGTGACCACACTTCACTGTCACAGTGTCTAACAGCCTCTTGCATGGGATACCAACCTACACAAACATCAACATCACCCTACATAAATATCTAAAAAGACATTTCTAGTCCCCTCTTTCAATTTTAGGTCAAATTATTTCTGTTAATGTACTTCTGAGTACCACCACTTGTACTCATAATCAATTCAACAAATCCCATTTTGCTTTTTGTGAACCATTTTTCAATATATATCATTCATAGAAGTTGGAAAGAATTATCGTATAATATTTTTTTTTATCCATCAGGACGACACTAAAATACTACCGTACATGTTATATGATATAATAAGTAAATAACAAGATGAATGGTGGTAGGTTGGTATATTATTTTTGTTGTGACTAAAGATGAAGAGTTACCGCGAGGACAGTGTTGCAGAAGTTGCAACGAACGTAGCAGAGGTGTTCAGATGGTGGAACCAGGTCCATGGTGAGTTTGTCGTCGTGGTTCATATTTCGAAGGAACAAGGGGTAAGGAGGAGAAGGGAGGAAAATGTTGCAGTAGTAGGGTTTAAGATAGCAAATTGAAAGGGTCAGTGGGTGATATATAGGAATAGGAAGAGTTGTGTTGTGTTTGTGTTGTGGGGTAACGTTAAAAATAAGAGAGAAAGAAAGAAAGAAAGAAGAGTAGTTTCATTTACCACTTGGTGGTCTTGTAGAGAGTACAATTTGCTGCAGCATTATATTGCACGCTTTGTTTGCAGACATGACCTGCACCAATCACTGACACTAATTAACAATCTAAAATCGCCAAAATATCGTTACTTTTCATTGCACATACATGTATGTATATCTATCCTCGACCAGGAGCATGATGCAGACACTCAACTACATAAAATTCTATATTTCAATTGCAGCACTTGATTAGGTTCCTTTCATTCTGTTAATCACAGAGCTGAACTTACATGCTTAGTTAATTTAGTTTTATAGGGGTAATTAATCAGTCGTTAACTTTACAACGGTTGAATAGTTAAAAGTTAAATAAATACGCATAAACTTTTTGGTCCTGGTTGGTGTATTCCCTAATTCACAGGTCAAATATGCATAAATTAATTTAATAAGTTTACTATTTTATTTGCACATGTAAACTACGTTTGATTATCATAAATAAATAAAAGAATATACATCTATGTATTTCTTCTACTCAATACCGACATTCATTCATCCGATTGATATTGAGTTGGTGATCAAATTTTAAAGTTTTAAATTTGAGTCTTAAATGCAATAAAAAAAAATGTTTATAATAGGAGGTAACTTTAATACAATCAATATCATAATAGATATTTTTTCCAATACTAATATCATGGTAAAAAAATAAATATTTCTCACTCAATCTAATTTGAGTAAGATAAAATTACTATAAATGATAACAAATTTCTAATTATTTAATAGGTTAACATACTTAGTAATTGAGCTCAAAATTACTCATTAATTGGTCTTATATGTGTGTATATACATGTGTGATTGAGGTTTTATAATTTACATAAAGAAAATTTCAATAACTGTGTAATAGATAACACTCGTATTATTGGGAAATTTAACTAGAGGTAAAATGATGGCCTTTTTAATTTGCTTCACGCCTAATGTAACTACAGCAACGAGTGCTTGTCATCGGTTTATAATCTTTAGGGTATAAAATATTTTTGTCCATTAAAATGTTTCTAAATTTAGTTTTAGTCTCTATAACATAAAAATTTAATACGTTTTCATTACATACTTTTATTACCTAGAAGTGATTTGATTTTAGTCCATAAATAAAAGCATGTGAATCTGTTAATAAAAACTAAAAAAATGGTAATAAAGTTTTTATAGAGAATAAAACTAAAATTTAAGATATTTTGAAGAAACAAAAACATATTTTATCTTATTTTTTAAAATAATATATTGGTAAAATACATGAATATATACTTTTATTAATAGAAAAGATTATAATAACGATAATGAAGATCAAACCTAAGTTTTCATTTACTACTTATATTGAGTGATTATTTGAAAATTTATTTTGAATAATTTTGTTATTATAAAGTTAATTTTTGTTGAAGTTGAGTTAGAAAGAAGTAACTTATATTTAAAAATATATATATATTAGAAACCAGATGAAACTTGGAATCATGTTGACATGTTAATACATTAGATAAGGAATGTAAAAATGTTTATTTGATATCACATCAGGGATATATGAGAAATCTCGTAATGGGAACATATTAATAATTTTTTTATTAAAATAATATTTTTGATCACTTAAACATATTCTAATTATAGGGAATTAATTAGCATTTATCTAAGACTTATTATAATATTCTTCACTTTAATGGAAAAGCTACATTTTTTTTTTTAAAATTTTACTTTGACTTAATTGTACTGAACAAACTTGATTTAAATTGATTCAACAAAAAACACATAAAAAATAATTAAAACCATGCATGCATGTTTCTGGTCCTTCAAAATTCCTTTGAGGAATTGCACCACTTCAAACATCCACTAGCTATATTTTACATTTGCAGTAATTAAATTAACTGGTTTATATGTACCACTCAAAAAATTAAAACCCTTGTTTAATACTCTTGTACTTAAAAAAAAAATGTTTTTAGAGAATAAAAATTAAAAGAAGCTTTGAATCGGCGGATCAATTAATATTTTGAATAAATATCGACTAAAAATCTCATCACTAACAAAGTAAGGTGGAGAACCACTAGTTTGGCATAATGATGAGACATTATATGCTCTAATATTAATATATGACTATTCTATATATATATATGTTAAGTTGGTTAACATTTAACAAGCTTTTAAATCTTTATAAGAATTACTTTTAGATTTTTCCATAATAGGATTTTATTTTGGATAGTTTTAGTCAAACACATTTTTTTACAACAATTATAATTTGAAAACAGAAAGGAGAGATGGAAAGGAAACGCGAGATACAATAACTCATGCAATGAAAGAGAGAAAAAAAAATGAATTATAAAGAATATTGAATAAATTTATAGCAAGTCTTTATTTTTTTTTATTTTAATGTTCTTTTTATTAATTATGGTGGTAGTATTATGACTGTTACTCACTTGAACTAACCTGAACGATTTTCACGCATAAATTAAGATTGAACACAAAATTTTCAACTAAGTGTTAACCCAAACAATTTTGACACTTAAATGAGATTGAAGATAAAATTTCTTACTAATTAAATCATCTCCATATATAATATATAAGTCTTGAGTGTTTAACTAATAAATCAACTCATCAAACTTTTATTTTTTCTTACTTGCACTTTTAATTTATTTGTTATCGTTAAAAAAATGATATTTCTTTTGCATGAATTTAATCATCCTATTATTTTTTTAGGTAAAAATCATCTTGTTTTTTTTTTTAATTATATAATTTTAATTTTTATGATAATTTAACATCTAATATTTAATATAATTATTAATTATTGATGTGACACTCCTATGTATTATCAACTCACCACATTCACACTCACACGTCACTCCTACACTGCCACGTTAATAGTAGAGGAATTAAATTTTTCCAAAACAAATTACAGGACTAAAATTTTAAATTTTAACAATAAAACAAGGACTAGAAAGAGAATTAATTCAATTTTTTTACATATATTTTGTACCATTTAAAATTTTCAAGTTAATAATAGGCACAATAATGTGATTAAGATTAGTCTCTGATCCGTATGTCAAAAATACTCATGATAAGATAAGAAAAATAAAACACAATTTTAGCTTGTATATAACATAAACAATGTAATTGAAGTATTCACAAAAAAAATTTAATTAAATTAGATGGCCTAAATAACTCATATAACTGAAATTTCATTACACAATAAGAGACGTTTCTTATTTTGGTTACACCTAAACTCTTCTCACATCATAAAGTGAAGTTGAGCATATATCATGACTTTGGAAGCTAACCTCCCCTCCCATAAACTTCCACTGCATAAATAATAAACATATATATACATATGTTGGCCCCTCTTTTTCACCACTACACACACACTTCTTAAGTAACCCCAGCAACCCTAGTACTCAACCGTTCCAAAATAACTTTCTCTCCACCTTATTCATTATTTTCCCCTCAAATTGCATCCCATAATGCTTCTAGTTTCTACATCTCAAATAAGGCAAATAAAGTATAGGGTCTGTCACATAATTATAAATGCATTGCTTATTCAAGTTGTTTCCCAGATCCCACCTTGCCACCCACCCATGTCTCAGATGCAGTGATTGCACCAGCTATTGAATTTGAAGTGAATGGTGATGAACCTCATCGGAATTAGAAGCCCACCCTGTAAATATTCAATTAAAACCAAGCTAACAGAAGATGAAAAGTGTTGTATAGAACTTCCAAAATACCACAATAAAATTAATACCAATTATGACCTAACCAAAAAGATCCAAGTCAACTTCAACACAATACAAAATGGGAATCAGAGCCAGAATTCAGAATAGATAGAATTTGATTACAAAACAATTGGATTTTGTTTGATTTTTTACCCATCTTGATTAATAATAGAATTAGAAAAAATAAAAATAAAAACACGAGCCTTTTAGGTTATTCCGGTCACTGACTATACGTGCATGTGTGATATGTACCATACATGCTAATGAAATCACTTGAACCACATGCAGTTTCTAGCAGTAATCGATACACCAAATTCTAACTAATGCAGTTTCATCTTATATAGTAATTAAAAGTATACAACAAGGACAAATGCTAACTAATGTTAACAGATACAAATAGAAAGTTTTTATTTGAAAAATGAAATTATTAACTATATAAAAAATACAAAATCACGTAACAATATTACAAATATTTAATAATATATATAATATTAGTTCCTATTTATTTAAACAATATTTAGATTTAGTTTCTTACATATATTTAACTTTAATTCTACCAATTTTTTTTTTAACAAAAATCACGTTGAAGTCCAACACAACAAATAATCTCTTCAATTTTTCAATTTTTATTTTTATGATGATATAAGGTTGAGAATTGATTTTAGAAGGTATCCAAACACACTGATAGACATATTTATAACTAAAATTACGATTTTATCTTGCAATTAATTAGTCACATAATGGAAATGAATATCTCCAATATGTCTACAAAAAGGTACATGAATAAGGACTACATATACTTCAGATATTTGGCATGTTTAAAGCAAGCATTGGTTGGGCAGAGGGGAAATGAAGTAACAGGAAGAGGAAGTGAGGTTAGGGTTAGGGTTAGGGAAGAGAGAAAAGATAGTGAAGAGAAGGGGCCCTGTGATGAAAACCCCCTTTTTGTGGGTGCAGCGCTTGAAGAGGAAATGTGAGAGTGACAGGTGGTAGAGTCACATGTCAAGGTCATGGCAGAGGGAAATGAGACTAATTAGAGGGCAAAGGCAGGAGATGGGGTTTGTGGTGTCCTTTTGTGATGGGACGATTCCACAATTCCCAAACATGGAAACAAATCTATCTCCTCACTTCAGGCCCCTACCTTTCTATGCTTGTATAAATACCACTTTCCCTAGGGCTCACACCTTTTCTCATTCACCTACCTAGCCCCTCTCCTTTTCTCTAGTCCGATGAATATCAATGCCCACTCTGTCTCTCTCCCCTCTTCCTGCTGCCACATAAATTCA